GCAGCGGCGAACGCTAATTAGATTTTTTAGTTCCACTTAGCAGCAGGCCAGGGTCCATTGCCTGCTTTCTTCCCTCGCATTTCATGCAAATGAATGAAATTAAAAGCACATTATACTTTATAATGCGCCCTGATTTGCCCCAAGCAAATTTAATTTAAAGATTTGCTAACCATTCATACAAATATATAGCCCCCAGATAACCGCAGTGCCAAATTGTGGGCATAAGTGACTCTCGAGGCGGGGACGCCATTGATTGGGTTTTTGGGGGGTTTCGGGGCCCGGCAGGCCTTGATCAAAGTCATAAGTCAGCGGCATACAAATCTCCATGTAAATATCCTTTCACAGTTGAGTTGTCCTTTTCGGACATCCCGGGATGGCACAGCACGTCTAAGCAACTGGATTATTAACATTTCAATATAATTTGTGGGCTTTGGTTCATATTTACGGGTTGGAGATGGGGGCAGCCGTAACTTTTCCTGCTGACGTCTGGGAAAATTAACGCGCCTCAGGACTTTGATCCTTTTTTTTTGTATATGTATGGTAAGGGTGCCCTGCTGCGTGTTGGTCCCCTGTATTTGCTTACATATTCATCAATTTTTGGGTTAAGTTGTGGGCGGGTTCCTGGGCTCCTCGGGTTTATCGGTTCCCTGGGTTGGGTCCTGAATGTCCATATATCTGTATGCGGATTGGATGCTGGGGCGGCCAGCACGTTTTGCGGTCGTTGGCGTCAAATTGTTTTGCTTGTTTGGGGCTTTCACTGTCACAGCGGGGATATGGTATCAGTGTGTAGTCGGTCAGCTGGTGGTTTTTCGACCGCCGCGCCGGCTAAACGCTTTTAGCTTTAATGCACTGCCCACTTAGTTGGGGCGACTTCATAATTGCCATTACGCATACGCCGTGTGGTCGCTTACAAAGTGAATTGCCAAATGAGATTGCCGGACCCGGGGTTGGTCAATAAAACATTAGGGTCCACGTCCATGTCCAACGATCGATGCCACTGGAAAGGGACACATACATCTTGGCAAGGCCGTGGGCCGTAGCAACTCCCTGGGGGCAGATCAGCCACATCCTGCCCAAGTCCGGAATCGTGTCCTCGATGGGGTTGCGTGTAATTAAGCGCTGCAGCTTATGTAAGACAAACAGGAAATAAGGTTTAGCACAAACGCATAAATAACAACGGCAAATCAGTAAACCAAGGCAGCAGGCAGTGGGTAACATAAATAAAGGCATACAAACAATGAAAGCGGATAACATAAAATTTACAACAACTAAAGCCAACAGAACAGGAGCAGCTCAGGCAAGGCAGGACAAGGCGTAAAAGTGGATAGTTGTGCACTGGGAGAAATAATATGCAGGCAGCTTCATTAAAATACTTAAAAATTTAGGGGAATTTAAAAAAATACAGAATTTAAAATATTGTTTCAATCATAGTTTCCATGATGCAGTAAATAAAGTACTATGGAAAATACAAAAAAATATATATTTTATATATTGTAATATAATTTTGAAAATTAAAACAACTAAATCTTAGTGAAGAAATAGTTTAGTTTGTGTTATATATAAACATGTTAGTTGTTATATATTAAATTAAGTTATTTTGGGGGTAAAAAGTACTCAAGTACGCCAAAAAACAAAGAATTCGCGTGTAAAAGAATGAGTTACTTGTGAAATTCATATTTTGTCATTGTCATTCATATTTTCCCTCAGTGCTTAAGCCCCACACACACATGGACACTTGTATACGCCCTGAGTAGCTTCCGTCTTTAATCAAATGGTACAAGGGGGCGTGGCAGGAGGCACTGCTGACACACTTAGTCCGAAGGCGACTCGCAATCCCCGCCAGCCAAATCACCTGGCTCACTCACCTGGCTCACGACGTTGTTAACGCTTTTCGCCCAGAAAGACAGAAAGGCTAAAAGACTGAAAAGGCAGGAAGCCAGGCGAGCGGAAAGGGACAGGTGCGTCCTCGGCAAATATACAAAACACTTGTAACTGCCGTGCAGCTAGCAAGGATTTATGATTAATTTATGGGCACGTGTGTGTATGTCTGTGTGTGAAAGACAGCGACAGCGACAACACAACGACAATGGGCGACTGTAACGATGGCAAAAACTTAATTAACTCATTACATACGCACCGTTTTAATCAGCAAACGAGCCAACACGGGCAATTCGAGCGGCGGAAGCGGAAGCGGGCGAAAGAAATGAAAATGAAAAGCTGCCATCGCGCTTGACATGCTGACACCGAAGGCGGCTGCCAAATGGGGGGCGTGGCTGCCAATCGAGCCGTCGGCTCAGTGCAAATTTAAAGCGGCCTTTGACTGCAATTAGTGGCTGCCTCGTTTGTCTGTCTCGCAAAGCGAATGTACATATCTCAGGGATACGGCCGAGTATTACGTACAAGTTGCGTGCCTGGATATTCTCCATTTTTTTTCCCATTTACCTCTTACCTTTGAGAAGCAAGTGTGCTAAGGGGCGAAAGCAATAACCCGAGCGAACCTCAACGATTGATTTACAATAACCCCAACTACCCAACTACTCGAGCCGAGTCAAGCCGCCTCAAAGTACTAAGCCGCGCTCGGCTCCGCCACTGCGATTACAATGGGCTCATTAACGGTGGCGTATACGCAATTTCCAATTAAATAAAAAGTGGCCACGCACACACAAGCGCATGCACTGGGGGAAAACTGTTGGAGGTTCATAAATTACAAAACTTTCTTTGACAAATTATGGAATTTTATATATATATTTTCATATAGACATAACAAATTAAGATGGGGCTCTGAATAAAAAATCCCTATTAGTTAAAAATAATTTTGGAAGAATTTTATTTAATTGTAAGTAATAAGAAATCGTATTTTATAGTTCTTAGAATTTATTTTGTTGGGTTTTTCTCATTAGTCTATCTGATTCTCCACCAAAATAAATATTTGTATTATTTTTCCTTAGCCCAACAGTAATTTTTCCCAGTTAGTATATTTGTACACGTGAACACGCAGAGATTTACTCGTTTGGTTTGTGTTTTTAAAAGGCCAACAGGCCGCAGTCAGAACGAATCTACTTACTCAGCCCGCCCAGCACCCGATCCCCCTCCCCTTCATCAACCCATCCCCTCGCCTTTCTCCATTTCTCCATCAGTTCCGCTGGCTCTGGGAAATTCCTTTTAATATTTATTTAACACAAAAGCTTTCCGCATTTCGCATTTTGCCTTCGCTGCGGCCGCGACGACGACGTTGCCGTTAATTTTTCGCTTTGCTTTTCATTTTCGCAAAATTACCGGAAATGTTAATTTCTGCACGTGCAGCAGACAAGGCCATTGGGTGGGTAGAGGGCAGTGGGTGGTGGTGGGGTTTTCGGGTCCGGGCCACGCCCATCGGCGTTGTCAGCCTCGAATTTTGTTGTCGTCGTCGACGACGTCGTCGTCAGTGGGCCCCAGCTGAATAGTGCTAATTATTTAGGGTAAGAATTCACTGTGTGTTTGCGTTTGTGTTGGGTAAAGGGGGTTTTGGGGGCTGGGCAGGGTTGACCCCCGAAAAAAGGCGCCGTTGCATTGGCCCTTAACCCATTACCACCCCACGTGCGTCGCTGGGCCGGCTTTGCCTTTGCCGTTTGCCAAGTCTTGGCAGCGAGTTTCAGCGTTGAGCGCTGAGCTGGGCTCAACCGAACTGAGCTGACACAAGAGCGCTCGAAGGACAACGACGAGCACCGCCAGAACTGAGCCACCTAAGCCACCCAAAAACCACCCAAAACCTCCCCACTAGGACTTACCACTCACCCCACATTCGCCTCCTTTCCTCCGCATTTGCGACTTTTTTCTGTGCCAAAGAGACAAAGCACACAAAATAATAATAAATGATTGCGATTCGTGCAAGTGTGGGTGTGTTTGCTTTGCATGTGAGTTTCTTATTGTAGAGGTGTACACTCTAAAGTTTATGTTACTAACTATATAAACTAAGAAATGTTAACTAGCTAGGAAAAGAGAAAACAATTTTAAAAAGAAAAGAAACACGTTTTTTTTAGCCCAGTGCTCAATATCTGGAATTTAAAGTTACATAACATACATGTTCATTTAAGCAATAATTCCTTATTCCTTAAAAATATATAAATATGAATTAATATTCAGATCATAATAATCCATTAAGAAATAATGGAATTTTCTAATATAACTTTATCAGAAGAAATTTCATCTTTTCATACAGATTAACGATAGTTAGAAAATTTTTTGAAGCTCTAAGTTTCTGGTATTCTAGACCCATATGTTTTTAGAGTGTTTGGTGGAACAGAGGTTGGCTTAATGGGTGGTTGGGTGGTTGGGTGGTTGGGTGGCTGGGAACATCACCACCCACTGCACTTGTGTTTGTGCAGCCTGCATGACAGCGAATGGCTTTGAGTTTGTGCATGTGTACACGATGTTTGGCCTGATGATGGGGCCAGAAGATTCGAGCGTGGAAAGTTTACTTAGATGAATGGGTTAATTAGTATTAATGGGGACGTTCTTCAGGGGGCGGTGGCGGTTGGGGGGCACAAAGGAGACACGCAGTTGGCAAAGTTTTTCGCGACGTTTCTGAAAAACTAATACCGAGTGGGTTCGCCAGAGACTCGGCAAGTTTTGTCATTGCTTCCGCCCAGCCACCCACTCTCTTTGAACCCATCAATCTGCGCGGCTCCTTTGTGATTTCAATTAACTTATCTCTGCTTATGCAGCATAAAATTATATATGAGAAATATCTCCTTTGGTTTTTCCCTTACTTTTCCTTTTTTCCACTTTTTTTATGAATATGCATTAAAGCACAGCGTCAGCGTTGGCAATAAATTGCGAAATAAAAGCGCATGACTTGGGATTCTCTTTTGATTTGCGTTTTTATCTGGCGCATATTTTGTGCGATTCACGATGCGCCAGCGGCATCAACCCTTTCCCGGAAAAGTCTCTGAAAATCTGTGAAAATCTGCGAAAAAAACCGATACTCAACTTGGCATTCTCTTCCCACTTCTTTTTTGCAGAACAATTCCACATCTTTGTCGGCGACTTGAGCTCAGAAATTGAAACTCAGCAATTGCGCGAAGCATTCACACCATTCGGCGAAATCTCGTAAGTATTAAAATGCAAATTTTCCATTTGCCAGTTAACTTGGAACTGCCTTTCTCCCATTTCCCCGTATTTTGCAGCTTTTATTTCGCATTTTCCCCTTTCCTTTTTTTTTTGGTGACAATTTTCCTGTCACACATTCTCTGATTATTGGCAGGCGCGTGTGGAGGAGGCTCTCATGCACTCGCTACTCCATAAAAAATTCATAACCGAGCGGCAAAAAATGAATTTATGCAAATTCCACTTTGGCCGAACTCTTTTCGCTGTCTGTAAGTGTCGCCTGGAAAGGCGAGGCAAAAAGATGGGGCATTCAAATATTTAAGTTGCTATTTTTCGGCATGAAAAGGCAAAGTCACTAGTCACCCGCCCACAACCACTTACCGCCCACTCAGCCACCCACCAACCATGGCCTGTCCCATGGCAACGACAGCATCAAAAACTTGGCTTAATTAACTTCTGTTTAATCGCAAAGTTTCGAGTCAAAATGTTAGTCCGTCTCTTGGGAGGACCTCTTCCTCATCCCCAACCACCCACAAAAGGAGGCCCTGCGGCGGCTTATCAAAAATTACGCCAAAGTATTTGATTTTCAGATTTGCCGCTTGTTTGAACCGCGAAACGGAGGATCCAGTCAGCCAGTCTATCAACGAATCTGCTCTCTGCTCATCTCACTGCCGATGGCCAATTTAAATTTTAATAATTCCAAAATCATTCTAATGACCCTGGCCTTGATTGGGTTAAAGAGTGCCCCTGATTCGCTAATGAGTTGGTCATGTCTTGGATCAAATGCGGCTAAAATCCAAGTAGAAAAGATTAAAGGCAAATTGAGTAAAGATATAAATAGAATAAATATTTATGAATTAAATATGTGTCAGTGCCATCAGGGCCCGTTGACAACCGTATCGATGGATACGGATTTCAGGCCTATTGAACAATCGTTTGGCACCTTTAGGGATGGCTATCACTGACATCATTATCGCCGATACTCCCCGAAAACTCAGCCCACGTAGCCTGCTGATTATCTACCAAGATTTCTAGAGGAGAGGAAAGGAGAGTAGGGAGTGGTATGGGACCGGCTTAAAGAACTTTATTTCTTTGGGTTTTCTTTGGGACCCGAGTCGATCTGCTAGCCGACATGTCAAAACGCTTAACGCACAAAGTCGGCGGGATTCGGTCGTGCGGCTCCCAGGGATCAAGATGTCCCCTTCCCGGCTGTCAAAACTTTTATGCGTGCCTGGCGTTGTTTGCCCTTTTTTCTTGGCTCGGCTGGTCTGGCTTTGTTTTTTCTGGTTTTTCTTTCGGGCATTGTTGCCTGGTTTTGGCATTATGTTTTTCGAGGGAGCCGTAGTCCCAGCGCATTTTGTTTCGTTTTGTTAAATGCGCGGCGCGTGTGAATATTTAATAAGTCCAGAAGGCAACGCCAAAGCCTGGCCCAAAAACCCCGACGGGTTCGCTCGGCATTTTACTTATAATAATCATAAAAAAAAGTTGCCGTCCAGAGTCGCCAACTTCGCCGCCGCCGCCGCCGCTGTGGTTTATGCTTCATAAATGAAAAGTAAACTGCCGGACCGGGGGTAATTGCCAAAGTTTCCTGGCAGCCCGCTTTAGTGCGGTGTCGAGGCCCCAATTGTCCAAATGAGAAGTCGTACAGCCGCTGGGGGAAATCAATTTGGGGCCCCCGAGTCGGAAGTTGGCCAATTGGCACAAGTGCCGGGTCACTAGTGTAAGTGACCAAAACGAGCAGGTCCTTTTGGCCCCTCTCCTGTAACTGTAATGAGCGTAGTTCGATTTTGGGGGGGAGGCGGTAACAAAATCACGGGTCGGAAAAGAGAAATTCATCAAAAACTTTATCGTTATCTTAAAGCCCTGAGATGAGATGAGTTGACTGGACTTTCCGGCTTCCTGACTTCTTGTCAGCCCAAATCCTCCCTTTTCACAAACTGCAAGATAAATAAAAAGTTTCCAGCATGAGGTCAGATTTCTAATTTCCGAATTACAAGGGGCCACGCCCACGCCGGCAAACACAGACTGAATATATTTGTATTTTGTACTCGAACGGAAATATTTGAACACGTCGGGGCTGGCCGACAGAGTCCTCGAGAGAGATGTCTTTATTAGGAATTTGCATAAATTTTAAAGTTTACCAGCACTTCCGTTCGGTGGCAGGAGGTCCACAGTAATATTTAAGACTTGGTGAACTCTGTTCGGGACTTTAATGTTTACATTTCGTGTTTCTTTTTTTTACTTGCAGCGACTGTCGCGTGGTGCGCGATCCACAAACCTTGAAGTCGAAGGGCTATGGCTTTGTGTCCTTCATCAAGAAATCGGTAAGAACCGCCTTTGGCATTAGCATATTTAAGTGCATATTTATGCAGTCGTGCGCAGGCTCTTTATTTTGATTTCGGTGCTGTGCACGGTGAAAAAAAATATCAGAAAGTTAGAAATCTTTATATTTTTAAATCAGTTATTATTTGTTGTGTTTTTAAACCATATAAACAATGTTGCCACAGAAATCACTAAGGTTTTGAGATCATTTTAATGGTGTCAAAAAGTATGCAACAAAATATTTCATTAAATACTTTTACCATTATTTCATTGCATACTTTTGAGCACCTCCCAAAAAGTATGCCACACAATATTTCATTATATCTTTAAGTGATTTGCTTGAATCATTTTAAAGTTATTTAAAGATTCAAATATGACAGCACTTAACTGATATTTTTCCACCGTGTCCCCTGTCTCCGTTTCTGCTTCTGACCATCTCTCTGTCTTCATTATCGCCCCGCAGGAAGCCGAGAGCGCCATTACGGCCATGAATGGCCAGTGGCTTGGCTCCCGTTCAATTCGCACGAATTGGGCCACACGGAAACCGCCGGCGAGTAAAGGTAAGGAAATCATGAGTGTCACCCCAGTCGGCAGGCCAACGAAGTTTCCGGTGTGCGTACACTCCGGACTTTCGACTACGGCGGACTTGGGGACCCGGACTCGAACCCGGACTCGAACCCCGAACCCAAACCCAAGAACTGAGACCCAGACGACGCGTCGTTCTTATTACAGGAAATTATGGCAATGAATGCCAAAGGTAGACCGACACAGGCACAATGCCAGGGCCAAAAGTGAAGCTGGAAAATCTTCGGGGTGGAAAAGTGGGGGGTGGGGGATTCAGGAAAACCGCTCGCTATTTATAAACGTCGCACAAATTTTCTGCCAGATTATGTTTTCTTAATATTTTTGTCCTTTCTTAACCGCACGCGCTTAATTTCCGTAATGGGCTGTACCCAATTTGGTTTAAACTTTTTCAATTAGCACAGGAAAAAAGCCCCCAAAAAAGAAAACCCCGTCTAAAGGCATTCAATTAGGACCGGCAAATCAATTTCCATTTGGGCCCTGCGACACGCCCCCCAATTTATGGCCACGGATCGTTGTCAACCGCACAGACAGCCGACGACCCCAAACGTAACTATATACTTAGTCCGGGGCGTAATCATTATTAACAGCGGACAAACACGAGCGGGGCTTCCCCATCGTTTGTCTTTCATAAATCAAAACTTAACGCATATTTGCATGTTTTAACATAATTTTTATTTGTTAGACACACAAACACACACATCCAATAGAGTCGGAGCGAATCAGATAAATAAATTTTGCCAACACGAAACTATTATCATAAAGGACCCAAACACACACACACACCCACCCACGAACAGGGTTATACAACGAATATTTAGAGAAAATAGTTGGAGTCAAGGTGGAATTTATCGTGCAAAGGCCCGAAAACTGTTGAAGGGTTCGGAAAAACGTAAGGGAGGGGTGGGACGGGACTTTCCTGAATATAATATTTTCCCTTTGCATTTATATTGTTGTCATAAAAAACGCCTATGAAAGCTTAAGCGTATTTTTATTGGTCTCATTGTTTATTTGACTGTGTCACGGTTTTGTCTGCTCTTCCATTCTGTGTGTGCTCTATAAGGGGAAAGTAGAATTACCGAGGGGTAGTTGTAATACAAGTTATTATTAGCAATTTGACAGCGAAATAATTTTGATTTTTTGATCGCCTCTATAGGCTGAGTCGGCATTCTGTGCCATATTATACCATACAATCGCTAAAGGGTTTTTATGTCCCGCTCACATATGGAGGGGCTGGAAAATGAGTATAGGTTTTACGGCCCTCCTAGCGAGTGCTGGCGAAACTTTACGATTTGTAGCACTCAACTCATTTCGCATTTGGCATTCGCATTACTTCATGTTTTACGCAGCCACTTTGCTCGATTCTTTTGGCAATCCCATCGAGTTGGCCCCGGCATTTTTATGTTTTAAGCAGGCTGCACATTTCACGTCCGTCCGCGTTTAGTGGGCCACTCATGTGTCTGCCCTATTGTTGCGACAAGATTTACGATCCAGCGCAATTGCGCATTTTACAGTTGTGACAATTTTGGCGACGCTTTGCAATTTCGTCCCCGGCTAAGAGTTTTTCGTACCCCTTCCTCATCGCCAGGGGTTTATAACAAACGCATTTGCCGCGGCCCTTTTTTATGGCCCTTCTCCCCAAAGTAAAAAGGGAAAGTTCCTGCAAAGTTTTTACCTTTGTCAAACAAGACCCACCGACTCTCTAGTCCACAGTGCATGCCCATAAATAAGACCCGAAATACCTGCAAGCTCATTATGGTAATAACTTAATTAACCAGAAACAATATGCCGACAACAGCGCCGCATAAAAGACGACAACGCTGCTGTATGACAAATTTCTTTGCCGAAACTATTTGACTTTTGACCCGGCTGTGTGGGTGGTTTATTGGCCAACTCGCTGGGAAAATATTTTGCAAAAGTTGGAGTTACGTGAACTCGTTACCTGGCAGTTGCCAGTTGACGCAATAAATCAACATTTTATGCAGAGTTGCACACAATTAAGTAAAAGTTTAAATGCCTCAATGCGTTCAGGTCGTAGGAAAAAGTAGATTCCTTAGGGTAAAGGTAAAGAAAATATGATGAGGGTTGAAAGAAGTTAAATCGTACCTTAGTTTCAACCAAGGGTTTTCCTCGAAAAGCTTATAAAAAATAAAATCATGAAAAAGATTTGTAAGAAAAATGTATTTTAAGGCTTACTGCAATTTTTCAAGATAATTCTGTAGGAAATTCTGGAAACTCAAAATATCGATTAAGCAACGAGCATTCTTGTTAGCACACTGCCACGCCCATAGAACACGCCCCTGTTGAAAAAGCATTTCCATGCATATTAATTACTTTTGAATTTACTCAAGTGTTGGCCACGTCCTCAAGGCTCGTGTTGTTTTTGCTGCGTGTAAAAATGTGAATTATTTATGTTAATGATTTGGTGATTATTTCATGATTTAGTTTTACATGCCTATAATTGCTCATTAAAATTTCAAATCGCCGGGAAAAATGGGAGCACCTGGCGTTGCGCCGGCGGCATTCGCTATTTGGCCCCATAATGGCCCTCGGGCTGACCAGACTCCAATTATTTGTGTCTGCCCCCGTTCCTGATGGAATGAAAATGGGGAAATGGGAATGCACATGGTTTGTCGTAGACAAAAATGTGCGATAATTATGGCCATACTGGGCCAAAAGTGCTTTAATTTGCTGCGGACATGAAACTTGGCCAAGTTAACCCAAAACGCCAAGGCTTCTGAGCACGTAGGGCGTGTGTGAATATGCGAGGCTCGTTGGTTGCATTTTCAAAATTTAATTACACCTATTTAAAAGCGTAAAAAAGAAATTAGAGAAAAACAAAAAGTGGAAATAATACGGGGCGAAGTGAAGGCGCACACAAACACAAAGCCAAAGTGCAAATTAGTGAAACATGGCGCTGCAAGGTATGCTATGTTTTCTTGGGTTAGACCTTATAGGAGTGCACTCAGAAAAATAATCTAAAAAATAGGTTTTTATTTTTTTTTAATTTTTTTTTATTTTATAAAAACCACGTTTACAATAAACTAAACAAATTTAAATATTAGAATTTTTCTAAAAAATTTTAATTTTTTTAATAAAAACTCAGTTTTATGTCAATAATTATTACCTTTAACTTAAAGTTAGGCCAGGAAAATTAGGTAGCTTTGTTTTAAAAAGTAAAACTTAATTTCTTTATAGCAAAAGTAGTTTTTCCCAGTGCCGCAGCTCTTATTTGCGTGTGTGTGCGTGGCCAAAGCGCATACATTTGTGGCAAAAGCTTTCAAAAGTATTTGCGAGCTTGTTAGTTTTCCCAGTTTTTCGGCTGCACCCTCGCCAGGAAAAGCGGAACTGTGATTGTTGTTGTTTCGTGGCGTGTGTGTGCAGCAATCCTGTTGCATGTCATTGAGCCATATTTTTGTGTTTTCTTTGTCATGTTTGCTGCGCAGTCGAAGGCGGAACAAAAACCAGTCGCACACACACAGAAATCCAGACATCCTGCAATGGCATTTTGATGGGCGGAAAAGGAGGGAATGGCCAGGAGTTGGCAGCCATTAACAGGCCATGTTAAGTAGGCTTGCAGCTACAAAGTTCTTTTCTCTCGGCCCGATATCCACATCCATATCGCCGCCACCACATCGATCTATATCTTTGCAACTGTCATTAGGATTATAAGCCCTGGCATACAATGCGTGGCTGTGGAAATACTACCGAAAAAGCTAAACAAAGACATAAACACGCGAAGCTGACATTATTTTTAAAAGTGCAAATTTAGTTTTAACCTCAAAGGAAGTAATTAGTGTAGCTTTTGCATACAAATACGTGCATTCATGGCGTATACCGAACAACAATCAGGGCAACGACAACGACAACGACAATGTGGGGTTGTTTCAGACCATTACTATATATGTGGAGCGTAGTGTACGCCCTGTACAGTGAGTGCAAAAAGCATGGCGACAATAAAACGGCATACGAAAAATGTATATCCACAAAATACGTATAATAAAAAATGCAATAACAACCGCAACAATTTTAAATATGCAACGGCAACAACAAGAAAGCAGCGGTAAATGGTGTTGCAGCCCCGCCCACTCCAGCCCACTCACACACACACACACACGTATACACGAGTAGGAACCGCACACACACAAGCATATTGACTAAGTGCATGCGGTTATTTTAATTACCAAAACGTTGCCGAGGCTGCTCTCGTTGCGTTGTTGTTGGTGGCGTTGTTGCGGGTAAATCCGTTAATTAATTTGCATATTAATCATGCAGCTGGCGAATAAAAACGCGAGTCGAACAGAAAAACAGCCTTCCATAAATTGTCGTTCGAGGCGGCAACATTAAAACCAGATCCATCAAGCACACATATAATGGGTAACACACTCATGTACATATATTCCCCATTTTTTCGCCCCGCAGAGAACATCAAGCCGTTGACCTTCGACGAGGTCTACAATCAGAGCAGTCCCTCCAATTGCACCGTTTACGTGGGCGGCGTCAACAGCGCCCTCACCGCCCTCAGCGAGGAGGTCCTCCAGAAGACCTTCGCCCCCTACGGCGCGATACAGGAGATCCGCGTCTTCAAGGACAAGGGATACGCCTTCGTGCGGTGAGTTTAGCTAAGATTACACAGAAACCAAACTATTGGAATCAATTGACTTTCAGCAACTATCTATAAATGTTGTAAATCATTTCAAAAGGTGTCTTAAAGTATGCAGCAAAAATAAGAACGAAGAAATATGTATATTATGGGTACCTTTTTATATGATTTCAAAAGCCGTGATAGTATTTTGTTAATATAATTTTAATATTTTTACTATTTATTATTTTTTGTTATAGATTTATTTGATTTTAAGATAACCAATTGTTTATTATAATATTTCTCCCATAAGCTCTTTGGGAATTTTTAACTATACGGTTTTGTTATTGAAACTAAAAGCCCATGAAATAAATTCTTTACAATTACATTTTGTTTTGTTTGTAGAGATTTAGATAACAACTATTTAAAATTTGTACTTTTATATTACTTTTTTTAGATATACCCTATTAACTTCCCCTATTTCTCCGACAGCTTCTCCACCAAGGAGGCCGCCACCCACGCCATCGTGGGCGTGCACAACACGGAGATCAACGCCCAGCCGGTGAAGTGTTCGTGGGGCAAGGAGAGTGGTGACCCCAACAACGCACAGACCATCGCCACCCAGGCGCTGAACAGTGCCGCCGCCGCTGCCGCCGGCTTCCCGTACGGAGTGGGCGCTGCCGCCGCCGCCGCCGCCTACGGACAGCAGCTGGCCGCCACGGGCTGCTGGTACTCGCCCACGCCCACCTATCCGGCCTCTTCGGCCACGGCGGCCGCGGTGACCCCGGCGGCGGCCAGTGCAGCCGCTGTGCAGAACCAGTTCCTGCAGGGCATCCAGGGCTATCACTTTGGCCAGTACGGCGGCTATCAGCAGGGATACATGGGGTGAGTGGCGGTTAAGTGGGGGTTAAGGCAAGGGATAGGGCATGGGTTAGGGGCTAGGTCATCCATTGTCATTGGATTGGCACACAATAATTTTATTAGCTGATTCGCCTGGACAGCAAAAGCCCCACGGGTGACCAGAATTACGCAAATCTGCATGGAGAGAAAAGTATGGGTTAAAAATGGGTTAGATTTAGAAGTCATTAAGTGATTTGTTACAATCGATGATTCCATTTTACTATAGTAATCTTCATACATCTTGGTAGAAAATGTTAAACATTTTTTTTAAATGCCTATATCTCTTAGCTCTCTAGTCTTTTAAAAGTAATTCCAACTTTAAATTTAAACTATTTTCTCTCCGTGCCTGGATTCCAATCCAACACCACCCGTTCCATCTGTGTACTTTGTGCAATGATTGAACCGCCACCGGGGATCGGGAAAAACAACAACAGAGACGACACCAACAACGACAGCATGACGGATGGGTGAATTCATTTGCTAATTGCGAAAGTTTTTCATTTGCACCGTCCTCGGTCTGCGGCCGTATGAAATACATTTCCGCGTCCGTCGGGCTGTCAACATAACGTGCTATTTGCATCGCAGTCGCGTAAATTTTGTTTTCCGCTACCCAAACTGGGATCCCTTCTGGTTTCGAATCCCTTTGCCATCCGGCGACTGCCCGTGATAATTGTGGCGCACACCACGCTCCGGGGACTTTCAATGGGCGGATCAGGGAGTGCTGTAATGCAGCAGCAGCTGTACACTCAAAACAAATATTAACAGTTCTTTATTAGAAAATTTAATTATAAAGATCTGGGAACTTCTTAAAAATCTCTGATTAAGTAGGATAATGTTATGTTACATTCATAATATATTTAAAAACAATATCATATATCATATATAACCAATGAATTAATATATATATCATATATCATATATCATCATATCATAATATTATTATTTGGGTATGGTCCTTGGGGATCTTTCGGAATTTTTCTTTAACAAGAATTCTTGGAATTACTAGGATATTTGAAAAAATATATATTTGAGCCGCTCAGATGGGAATAAACATTTTAGGAACTTGGCAAATTTGTATCCTAATAATTTTCTCTCAGCATATATTCATATTTGGAAACTTTGGACTCTCCTTGCAGCATGGGAGTGCAGATTCCGGCCACCTGGCAAGGCGTCACCCAGGCGCAGATCTCACCTGCCCAGCAGCTGGCAACGGGCGTGGCTGGCACCGCCATTCCGCAGGCCGCCGGCGTGGTGGCCTATCCGATACAGCAGTTCCAAGTGAGCCCACAGGTAGGTGCCCCTCTATCAAGTACGCGTACGGATACACGGCCACACAGATACAGATACACACATTGCCCGACACATTGAAACATTTTTCGTGCATCTCTACTACGTTTGTTGAAAGTTCTGAATGTATTTTGGATTCCGTTGTAGTGCGCTCGATTCGATTCGATTGAATTCGATTCGTTCGGTTCGTTAGGGTGTGCGATGGGTTGTTTGCTCGGCAGCTGTGTGTGCACTCGATATGCGTACATATTTCTGGCTGCTATCAAAATATTCCATCGCCATTCGAATGCCTTTGCCTGCTAATATTATTCTTTTGCATTTGAATATCGAATGTGGACAGAGACAATTGTAATCTGTCAATATGCATGCATGTTTTTGATTAAATAACATTATACCAAAGAGAGGGAGAGGGTCTAAAACAATTGAACACAAAATATATTGAATATTAAAATAAACATTTGGCTAATAAATATTGGTTTAGACCGGATTTTTTTCTTTAATTTGGTCTCTAGTGAAATATGTAACATTTATATGCATGTATTGCTTAGTAATCTTGCCATAAATTCGGCATTTTAAGTGTAATATATTTGCCAATTAGTTTGTTCACTTTATTTGTTTATCTCGAGAGCTCACATTATTCAAACCCATCCGGTTTGGAAAACAATGGCCATAGAATTTATTATTGCATCTGAAATATCTGTGTTGTGAAAAAAGAACCAAGTCACGTTTTTGCATTACAATTACTTTTATTCCGTCTACTACTTTTTTCCAATTCTTACTAACACCCATATTATTTTTTAAGGTTTATCCTTTACTCTTGCAGGCACAGTAAACGCCAAAAGCCAAAAACCGAAAACCAAAGCAAAATTTTTAAGTACAGCTGCAATTTTCTGAACAGAAACAAAACCAAACTGAGCTGTAAATAAAATGCGAAGCGCAGAACACACAAATTGCAAACAATTGATGGCAACTTGAAGTTTGGCGATTTTAGAGAGCTGCACCCCAGAAACCAAAAGCAAGCGCGAATGCAAAATCCGAAATCCAAAACCCACACCCACAAAAGTATATATCTATATATATAAAAAACTAGAGCATAATTATCTGTCAACGCCCGTTGAATAAGCATCGGGGGAAGCAAACAATTATTATGTATATGCAAAAAAAAGGCAAAGAAAACGAACATATTTTTAACCCTAGTTGCTTACACCATCACACACACACACACACCTCACACCACATATTTTAATGCTTTATGTAAATGTGATGAAGCACGGCGCGTATATAAAATAATAATAACAATTATTAATTGAAGAAGGAAGCAGGAGCGTAAATAAAAAGGGGCATACAATCTGGTCGAAGGAGAACGCAAATCGAGTGGGTTGTAGCGGCCTAAATTAAACACAGTCGCGGCATTAAATTAAAATAAACATAATTAAAAATGCGTTAAAATTAATTACGCGCACACAGGCAGGCTCACATGTATGCAAGTAAATATTTGTGCGTCTGTGTGTATGTAAGCAGCCCTTAACCCCACATTATCCTTCTCATCTCACAGCAGGACCCGCATCATTTTGTATTGCCTACTTTTGTGCGCAGTTTGGTTCTAGCTTAGCACACACACACACACTACTTTCACTGAACGAGTGAAAGTATATCATTCTTAACCATCTAACTCTCGCAATTGAGTAGAAGGTCGAAGTTAAATGGTTAAGAAAGACTAAGAATAGTACTTTCACTCAACCACCCACACTTAGCACTAGTGCCTATAACTATGATAGATGATACTGCTTAGAAACAACTGCCAGTTATCGGGCCAAGTGCAGTTGATTGGCCAACTAGCTCGTCATGTCCTGCTATCATTTCCTATATAGAATGCAACTGAAAGTTCACGCACTCACACCGATTTGTGATCGATCAGCAATCGAAAGACAGGTTCCTACACACGCACACTCACACGGTCTCACCAGCACTCGCAGTTCGAAGTATCTGAATATATAGTAATCGTACGAAAGTCCAGGAAAGTCCAGCCAGCCCAGCTCATTATTTGCTTGAAATCCGACTCTTAACTCCTTAACTCCATTATGACTTTCGCTTCACTTTCAACAAGCGCTTCACGAGAGCCCATGTACAAAGCAGCCGCAAAAATGTTTCAAACTCCCTTCAACAACTTACTCTTTAACACGCCAGTATTAACCCATGTTTGTACATGTTACGTTTATGGTTTTATTTCAGTTGCCAGAAGAGGAATGGTTAGCTGCAAATTTGTTGTGTTAGTTCTCTGTTGTTTAGGCCAAACGAAAGCGATAAGGATACCCAAAGCAAACCAAGTCAAACCAAACTAAACCAAACCAAACCGAAACCGAACCGATAACCAAACAGAATATCCAAGTAGCTAATAATATATATATGGTATAGAAAGACAGAGAGAGAGAGAGAGAGCAGAACTCCCCTACACAAGTAAAGTATATTGAAAACAATCAAAGTATGCCATCGAATGATATTAATTGATATTAGCTAATCGAGCATAGCCGTAATAAAGTAGATATTATCGCCTAATCATATAAGCCAATAAACACACTTGCAGCCCGAAAACAGAGACAGACAGTTTCGCAGGACACAGGACACAGGACACGATAACGATAACGATACCCAAGAGGCAAGCATTAATCAACTTATAGACAACATGACACACACCTACGATAGGGATCGAGAATTTCAGATGGTAGTACATGAATGTGAAACATAAAAATAGTCATATGGTAAATACAACTAAAAGTGTAGAGTATTTAAATGTAAAGTGGTAAATCCTAGACTTAGAGTTGGTTGATAAGTACATAGAGTATACAGCATATGCATTAAACAAACATGCTTATATAACATATATATACAGGCCGTATAGAGAACACCCACACTCACACCCACACCACAAACAAACAAACACACACACACACAATCACACTCACACGGTGTTCACATATGGAGAAGAAAAACTAAATGCGAGCAACGTATGGTAAATGATATTTATTGTTTATTGTGTTGTATGCGTTGGATGATAAATCACAAATAGATGTTCAAAATGAAAACCAATTAAAACGATGACAAGAGCAGCAACAACAAGCAAACAAATCCCAAGTACTAGAAATAGCAATACGCATACGTAACGTAATCGCAATCGCAATCGCATTCGCATATATACTCGTGCGTATCGGACAATTAAGCTGCAAAGGACGAAAGGACGAGGCTTGATTTGCATTTGACACGCCCCAATCCCCAGCGAATTGGCAGCGTGGAATTTGTTATGTCATTTTTTAGTGGAATTTTTCGCAGCTAACGGATCAGAGCATTTAGTTACTCGGGTGTGGCCCCCAGCACCAGTAAATGTCTATCGATAATACCCACGCCGGAACACACGTATATGTATAACGAATATATCCATATATGTTTGTAGGATGCGCTCACTCAGTACGATAAGAAGGGTCAGGGGATTTTAGCCAAGGATCTGTGGATCAGCAGGACATGTAGTCTTTAGAGGCAGTCGTACTGTATATTTAAATGTTTTTAGCACTAGAATTTAGAGAAACTACGAGACGCATGGCATGCGACTTAGATGTAGATGTGATTTTAAAGTGGGCGGGATTGGGCCGGATTAATGCAAGTGAAGTTAAGCTGACAAATGCATTTTTTGTTGTTATTTTATTTTCTAGAAATTTTGTTGAAGTGCAAAAAAAATGCGAGAACAAAAATTTGAAATGTTGTTGACCAAACGAAAAAAAATAATATAATCTTAAATGACCGTTTTGCAGAAAACAAAAATTTGGCTAGGAAAACAGAAAAGAGAAAACCATTTATAAGCGAAAAAGTTTATAGTTAAGACAGAAAAAACGAAAAAAAAATATTATCGGTTTGTTTGTTAATGTTTGCGCTACATATCAGTAAAGAGTTAAAATGGGTAGTTGGCACGTAGAAATAGTGAAGAGTTGGAAACTAAATAAGAATTAACTGTGGAAGGTAAAGAACATAAAACAAGCTGACGAAGACGACGAACTAAATAATATACAATTATGAAAAAAGAAAACATTAAAAATATATGAATAACAGCTGTAACTGTATGTATTTATGTTGTGTAACTATAAAATGTGCTAAGTCATTTATATACGTCTATATATATATATGAACATATACAAAGTATTTATACACATGGAAGCCCACGTCGCATATACCGCAGAGAAGGACTAATCCTGGTAGAGGGATTTTCCGAAAAACAAAACCGTGTAGCTGCACTATATTGCCGGATGATGATGATGATTATTATTATTATTCATCGACTCAGGTTCTGTTCCGATCATAGCCCATTGCCACCATTAGTCGAGCATAATTCAATTCCGAGTCCTTCGCTTTGAGTTACTAATTCGGTTTGGATTCAAAGCCCAACTACACACTGAAACGATTGCAGTTATTAACCATAAACTACAATTACCAATTAGTCAATTCGAAGTGTAATTAACTGGAGTGCTGAAACAGGAGCAGTTAGCTAAATTTACCACACGCAACGCGAAAAACAGGCGATGCATGTGGAGGCACATAGCGTAAATTAAACTAAACCGAGCGAGGGGAGAACAAATTTTAACGAGATCCGATTGCAGCAAGGCGAAACCGAAAATCAATCAAATAAAAGTATTATCTAAGCTACAAACAAGTATATATATTTACATGCAGGCAGACCCTTCAACGTGGAATGGCAGTGCATACTATTTATCCGATTTCTGAGTGTGTTTCCGAGTAAGTTTAATTACACACCAGTTAGGGATATTAAGGGAGGATCTGATTTACAGGCAGAACAGAATATTATATTTAAAGTACTAGCCACGAGAACCGTTGGAACCAAATCAAATTCAAATTCAAATTCGGAATAATCCGAGCAGGCAACACCGGGATATTTTTGTGCAATAAACCAGACGGATTGAAGGGCATGTTATGCAATTAAAATTACACTAAGATTGTAAACAAATCAAATGCAAATGTAGAAAAAATCAAACGATGAGCAAACAACCAAAAGCTGCTAACAAAACAAACATCAAAGGAAAAACAAAAGCTAAAACCAAAAAAGTTTTGGATGGCATTCGACACGAGGACAGAACTCACACAGATACAGATACAGATACAAATACAACTACAGATACAGATACAGCAACAGAAACAGACACAGACATAGATATCGATATTATACGAACAATATATATATATATACACACATATATATATACAGACGTAAAATATGATAAGTAAATAGCAAATAACTAAAGTAAACAAAGTATAGATATCGACTGCAGTATTGCAAATATTTTGTAGAAATTTAAGCATGTTTGAGTGTGTTTTAGGACAAGGACTAGAAAACACAAAGGCGAAAGGCAAACAGGATGAAAAAATCGAAAACATTGTAGCGGAATATAAAGGCCGAGAACATAAGAAAACAACCAAACCAAAACCAAAACCAAAACCAAAACAAAAAACAAACAGCAAGAACAAAGCCGAAAATTGGAAACCTAATGCATAAGCTAAGTATTAAATATACACTAAAACAGAAATATATATACAATTTAAATACGGCATCACAAGTCACACAGACGTACACACATAAAAACGGCATTTGCATAAGAAAACACAACACACACACACACAAGTGAAACAACGTAACGAATATTAAAAGAGTTAATCAAATTAAGCATAACAAGAAATTCAAAGGAAAAATATTTATAGTTGAAAAACAAACAAATAAAAACCAGGATAATTTGGTTGCGTATTTGTATACCAACGCGCCAAATCAACCCGAATGACCCAGCAGCGAAATGCAAGCGAAATATTATACAACAATGTCAGCGAAGCGTGGAGGTCACCAGCTACCATCTCATCGAGATGCTCTCGAAGGCGGGCTGGTGACCCCGACCAGTGGGGGATGTGGTTTTAGAGCTAGACGCTGGGTTGCCATAGGAGGCGGAATGCATAGAAAAATTATACTTAGGTGACGGCAAAAACAAAAAAATTAAATAATAAAAACACAAAAATAACACAAAAACAGGAGTGTAATAACAAACAAGAGAGGAGTCAGGCGGGAAGTAAAAACAAAGAACAACTGCAACATAGAAATGATGAAAATAAGTAAATATACCGAATAAACAACAAAAATTATATTATGTATACATAAATATATTGAAAGAAAACAAATAAAAACGAACAAAAAAATTTTGTAAAAATAAAACATCCCAATGTGTTCTTATTTGTAGGACCTTTTTCAGTATGGATTCATTTGGTTATGGAAACATACATATAATGGGCTATATAATATTCTTCATATTATTTTACAGTTTTATAGCCTCAAATAAACATCTATTTGAAATCATTTGTTTATTTAACAACTTGATCATCATTTTTTTAAATCATTAAATTATTATTATGAATCAGTTAAAATTCACCGCTGCCTACATTGTATTACCTCAATTTGTGTATACCCAAGATGATTTTGCATTATGTTATTAAAATGAAATAAATGATAAATAAGTCATGTGCTAAATTATATTTTTATATTTTTTTATTCTAAAATTCTAAGCCTGAAAATAATTATTAAATTTAAATCATTTGTTAAGAAACTTTAACTTAGTTTTCGCAGTCAATAAATTATTAATAGGTATCAGATAAAATTCATCACTGCTTACATTGTCTGACCTTAAATTGTGTGCAGCCATAAAAATCAGGCAGGATGATTTTACATTATGTTATTCGTTTACTTTATGATCTCTGCATATGGCAGTTTCCCTGGCTGGTTGCTCATTTCCCTCGGGGTCTTTGGCCATCGCTATCTGCTGTTGTTTTTCATCTTCCTCGTATATTTTCCTTTTCGAGGAGCGTCCTGCCCTCCATTTGCACAGGTGACATGAAGAAGACGTTCTGCTACTTATGCGTATGCCCCACAGGTGAGTTCGTTAAAAACATTTATGTCCCGGATGGGGCACACGGAGATCCGGGCCACCTGCCGCGCAGTCGGGCCGCCAAGGATGGATTGGCATAACAAAGACAAAGGATACACGTGCAACAATAACAAATCAAAAATTTACAGAAACAGAGCAGCGACAAAACGCTGAAGGGAAAGTGGCAGCGGAAAGGACTGGTGGCGGAAAATGCAAAGCGGGGGAAAAATGTTTAAAACATATTTTTTCGCCAATTCTTTTTTTGTTTTCTTTTGTTTTTTTGGTTGTCGCGACTGCTGGCTCTTGTTTCACATTTTTGCCGCAGGTTAAAACCAGCAGACTCGCACACGGATACGAATCCCCATTTATATTTATTGTGTGCGTGTGGGTGTGTCTATTATCACAAAGATTTCAAGCGCACACGCACACACACACACACACGTGCTGAAGGATCCCAGGATGGCTGCATTTTTAAGCAACATATGCGTTACTTTCACTTTCTTCGCTTCTTTGTGTGCGTTTGTGTGTGAGCAAAGTAATGGCGCTTTGTTTGATTTGCATTGCAAATCGGCGTAATTTTGCAAAATGTCTTCCTATAAGAGAAACAATATGTTTTATTTACTTACATTTGACTTTGATTTCACTGTGTCATACGCAACCCTCGTCTTTTTTTCTGCTATCTCGCAGGCGTGCACATGTTGGCCCCGTTTTCCTTTGCCTAAAAATATAAAGAAGCATAAAAAGTGAAATCCAAGCCATTGCTTATTTTAACTTTGCTTTTGGAAGGGGGCATACGAAAAAATAGATTGTTTGACTAGGAAATGCTGTGTACATACGGATAAGTACGTTTCCAGGGATATATTTAGACGAGTGCGGAAAATCACAGCTGTATTTTGGCATGACTTTGCCTATTTAATGGCTTTAATGCAGAAATAATATTTGATAAGGGGTGGCATGTCACCAAAGGGATGCAAAATAAGGAAAATTAGATAGTATTATTACTAACTGATTAAAGCTGTTTATAACTTAAAGTTATTGTGACTTTAAGTACCTTAACAAATGTATTATACTTGCTGGTTCATTTATTTTTCTGAAGTATAAAATCTAATCTGTAGTTCTACAATCTAACCTACGGCAATCCTTAAGAACCTAGGCAAATGGACGAACATCGTGTTCATATATCCCATAACCTCGTTTTCGAAATGCCACAGCTTAGCCTTCCACGGCTCTCGACGGCATGTTTAGTTAATAATTCCCATGGCTGAAAGCCTGTCGCCTCCACTAAGACGACACGGTAGCAAGAAGCATTTTCTGCATAACAGGATATTTGCAGAATATAAAGAATGTATCAGCAGCAGCTGCAGCCGGATGCTTGAGGGGAGGGGCAGGGGGAGGGGGTCTTAACAGGACGTGCAGCTGTGCGACGGAAACCGGAAATGCGCAAATAGCAGGGCACTGAGGATTTTTACGCTCAGCACGATTCCGCACGGCATATCGGGCTGTGTGGCCGCATGCAGAGCTCACTGCCAGCTGAGTGGCTCCATATCCACAGATCCACATCTCCACAGCATAGGATATATATCCCTATATCCTCGTGCAGCAGATTAGACACTCAACAGGACGAACAGGACGGGAGCAACAATGCAGCTGGCAGGCGACAATGCCACTCGACAGCAGATATGCATTTGTGTTTTGTGT